CTTGGGCTCCTGGTAGTAAGGACTCTGCATGAACTCCCAGCAAAGGCTGGCTGGGATGTGCTAGACAGAACTCTCCAAGGCTCTGTGCTCTTATGCAGGAATATATTTTTTTTAGAGGAAGAAGACAGACTCATTGTGACTCCTGTGCTGGTAGAGGCTCAAGGGCCAATTTCTTGACTGGTTGGGAATTCCTACTTTGGACCTGATCTGAACTTAACCTAACGAAGTTCAAGTTGGTTTCTTGAATCAGCTGGAATTAGCTTATCCCATTGAGAGCGTGCTATGTGCCTTGCAGGGGCACCCACAGATCACTATTTATGCCAGCGCTGGCATTTAGGGGAAATAGTCTCTCTTACTAAGAGTAGTGGTAATAATTACCCTTCTTGAAGCCCCATTCAGGAAGCACTGTGCTCTACCACTCACAATAACCCTACAAAGTAAGTACATGTCTCCCATTCTACAGATGAGGAAGCGGAGGCTCTGAGTTTATGTTTAAGGTTATATGGCTGATGATTGGAGTCTGCTCATTCTCTGTCCACCAACCCAAGGGTTCGCTCCTCACTATTTTGATAGAGACATTATCTGAGCTAGGTGTCCAGAGTGGCTTCATGTTCATAATTATAAAATTTGGGAGGGGGCTTCAGAGGCCACCAGGAAGAAAGATGCCAGCTTCAGATACTAATGCCTTTTCTAGCAAGCTCAGTGGCTTTAGAATTTTTAGCACACCATGTCAGACAATCAGAGTTGATACAGTAGTCAAATCTAGCTTACTTTTGATCCAGTCTGACCTTCTTCTTGATGGTGGAGCACCATCTTTTTCATTTTCCATGAGTTCTACCTTTCAGTTTTCCAAAACCATATATAATTTTTTATTTGTTTAGCATCATAGACAATTTCTTCTTTTGGTTCTAAACTTGGCCCCTCTTCCAGAGTTTCATTCCTGGAGCTGTACCTGGCTGTACCGATCTACCTACTTTCAGTATATATGTACATGCAATGAACTCAGTCTCGTGGTTCATGGCTGCTGCCTGGGTTGATTCTTCGGCCCTCTTCCGGCCTGTGAGGCAGCTTAGTTATGTACCTGCTCTCGCACCTACAATATGAGTTGTGAAATGTCCCAGCAAAGGATGAGAAGACCTGTCTGCACTGGCCCAGAGCGAAAGTTGCTTTACATTTGCTTTTTTTTTTGATTTTAATTTAAGATGTGCTGGGGAACGGACTCCTTCCCTTCTGTTGTGCCTTTTCTCACTGTCTTCCTCATTTATCCCTTTCCTCTTCCTGCTTCCCTATGTTCTCTCTTCATTTGCAGTATCACAGCTACAGCAGCCAGTGTTGGGGCTGCTGGCATCCCCCAGGCAGGTCTGGTCACCATGGTCATTGTCCTCACATCGGTCGGCCTACCCACTGAAGACATCACACTGATCATAGCTGTGGACTGGTTCCTGTGAGTGTCCTTCAGACCCTGCTTCTGTCTCTTCTCGACACCCTGTTTTCCCTGCAGCACCCCCTAAACCCATGGGTCCAGCAAAGACACAGAGTTCTAGAATTTTAGAGCAAAAGAGGAATCTTGGGGAATACTTCAAACCATGGCCCACGAATCCCAAATTCCATATAATTAACTTTGGGAAGCAGGGAGGAGAGGAGACAAATGATAGAGGCTTTACCCATCAGCTGTAAAGGTCCCATTTTTACCTGTTTAATGTAGAAGTTACAAAAAGGTGGTCTGTAAGACAGAGCTGGCTTACAAATATTTTTTTTAAAAGTATCAACTTTAAACACAAGAGGTTTACATAAAATAAACCTGAACTTCATTCTATATGATGTTCAGCTCACAACCCCTAATTTTCTATATTGGATGTTTACATCCTTAAAAAATTGCATTGCTGAGATCAAATGTGAGCATATCGGAGCTGGTCCATTCTGCATCTTTTAGGCAGGGAAACTGAGGACAGAGTGAGGGTGGGATGTGCCTGGTCAGGGATTGACTAGAATGTGAACCCCCAAATCTCAGACACAGAGAACCCTCTCTGCTTCATCCTTTGCAATGTAGTGCCCTTCAGGCCTTGGTTAATGGATGTTAATGGTTAACTTTCTCTTCCCTCCATTCCCCAGTGACCGACTTCGCACAATGACCAATGTGCTGGGGGACTCCATTGGAGCAGCCGTCATTGAGCACTTGTCTCAGCGGGAGCTGGAGCTGCAGGAAGCTGAGCTTACCCTCCCCAGCTTGGGGAAGCCCTACAAGTCGCTCATGGCACAAGAGAAGGGGACGTCCAGGGGACGGGGAGGCAATGAGAGTGCTATGTGAGGGTGCTGGGGAAGACCCACTGCCCAAATGACCATGCACTGAACATACATGTTCTGTCTGGCATGTTTGGGAGAAGTTGAGATAAAAGAGCAGG